GGTAATTGATCCAGAAAATTAAAAATAACACTTTATGAACACATTTTAGAATTGCATAAAAATTGATAATTTCATTATAAATTTTTGAATCAATACAAAATTCGAATGTGATACAACACAACCTATCCAAAAAAGAGTAAGATAATTTCACATGCCATACAAATACAATATTCCTTATTTGACACCTCTGCAAAATTGATTATGCAATAGAGTCAAATATCAACAATTGATTTTGACGACTCTTTTTTCTTTTTCTTTCTTCTACTTCAAGCCTGGATGAAACAAGAACATGAGCACTTTCTTCAAGCACTCTCTGCAGTATAGTGAGCATTTCTTCAGGAGATTTTGGTCCCTCAAAAGGATATTATTTTAAGGTAGGAACAATGATTTCCTGATACAGAGTGCAACGATATTATTTTAAGGCAGGAACAACGATATAATTCAAATAATTTCTCTAGAATCTAAAGATAAATTAAATCCAAAACATAATATAAAAATAACACAAATTTTCAGGTTGTGCATTGTAGCATTCAATAAAATTAATTGAAAAGAAGTAAATGATTGTAAGTAGATTGAAACAAAGTCAAAGTCTTGAATCTCTTTATCTTGATAAGTCATACTGTTTTCAGTCTTGCGCATAGCCCTTTCACCGTGCTTTATTATATTCGTTTTGTTTTAAATCCATTGAAAGAAATGTAGTTATTTTCAAACTAGATTTGATCTATATATCAAGCCAATGAAATGAACAACACGAAATTCCTAATAGGCTTGTATCAATCTATTGTTCTTGCGATTCACCAACAAGATTGTATACCAGTACTTGGTACAATCCTAAATATAATTCAAAATGCGAATTTCTAATAACCAGCACTACACAAAACATCACATAAAAAATCTACCTTAAAGCATCAAACTCTGATACTCAACACATCCCAATTAACAATTATACTATACTTATTCACAAAAACCGCACGGACACCCACATTAAAACGAGAGGTCTATCAATTATGAACAATAGATACATATCTGTATGTAAACGTAACTTACAATTACAGGTGACTGGATTGGAAGGGGCAGAAGGGAGTGAACATTTGGTGTTTCTAAATTCAGGAGATTTTGGTCCCTCAACCACTGACACATCAATTGTTGGGACACGGAAAGCCATCCAGTAAGCTTTCCATTTAGAGAAGGAAGTACTTTCCCGATAGCCTACGAGTTTAATTGTATTAGAAAACAATTGAAGCATACGAAAAAGGTTGCAGGGTCAATTTTATTCCACATATTGCAAGTCACAATACCTTGGCAGCTCCAGTACTGCTGGGAATAATGTTGAATGATGCGGCTCTTCCACCTCTCCAGTCCTTCTGAGACGGACCATCAACAGTCTTCTGTTTGCTGAATCATAAACCAACATCAATCCCAGTTCACATCTATGTCAAAAACTCCTAAGGGAATCCTTTATTTACCAGTAATGGAGTGGACAGTTGTCATTAGACCCTCAACAATACCAAACCTATCTTGAAGAACCTATCATACACAGTAGCATTATATCAAGGTCAGGCTTCAGTTTATCATGATCCATGGTACCCTGGACTACTTAGAAGAAAATGTACCTTTGCCAATGGAGCAAGACAATTGGTAGTGCAACTAGCATTCGAGACAATATCAACATCTTGACACCAACAACAAACATAGGAGCATCTTTACTTGGGGCAGAAATGATGACCTTCTTAGCACCTCCCTGTGTTTAAAAGGACAGAACCAAAAAAGCATAAATTAAACATTAATATATTATCAACCTAAATTTGTAAAACTGTAAAAATCATATACTGCGGACAATGGACGAGTATGGGATGTTTCATATTTCTCAAACCAACATTAGTCTACAAACGAGGAAAGAATGAAACATTGAAATAAAACAGCTGAATTTGACTTCGCTAAATGTGGATAGTAGTACCAATAAGTATGGTTCAATACAAACCTTCAAGTGGGTTGCAGCTTTGTCCTTGTCAGTAAAGACTCTTGTTGACTCGACAACATAATCAGCTCCAGCTTCAGCCCATGGGATCTCCTCTGGGTTCCTGAGCATCAAACATAAATTAATAATAAATCTAAACAGAGCCACATATTTATCACCCAGACAATATGATTGAGAAATATCTCACACCAAAGACGATCACTGGCTTCTCACCAAAGAGAATGGTCTTAGAATCCTTAACCTGAATCTCGTGCTTTTTCCATTGACCATTTCCGTACATTTCTTCATCTGCGTACATTACCATAAACAAATTTCCAAAACAAGCAAAACACCAGTGAGACATTTTATCAAACACTTAGATTACAATGGCACTGTGTGTGTGAGGGAGGGAGGCGGAGACGAGAGTAGGAGGAGGAGAAATTTGGGCTTTTAATTTTTAACAAAGCTTTGACACTTTTGGGAATGTAAGGAAAAAAAATGACTATTAGCAACATTTTTACAAACGTTTGCGAAAAGTGAGACTTTTCGCAACGTTCCAAAAACGTTGTGAAATGTCACTTTTCGCAATGTTAACTTGAAAAACGTTTCAAAATGTCATTTTTCACAACATTCACCCACACGAACGTTGCAATTGACCCTTTTAGCAACATTTAATCAATGAATGTTAGCTTTTAAGTGTTGCCAAAGCCTATTTTTGTTGTAGTGAAATGTCTGTCGTGGTTACTGCATTAATGAACGAGACATGACACCGAGCATTTAAAATGTTGCTTTCAAAAATCCTTTCTCAATTGATGCACAACTTGTTGAAGAAAGGAGACAGGTACGTAGATACAGAGGAAGCAGAGAGGGTCACGAAAAAGCTTCGTGAAAGATAGGAGCTAAAAACACATAAGAGAAAGTTACATGATGAGCGAAAAGATACTAATAGAAATAAGTTGAGAAATGAGCATGTGAGTAAGGGGTATATGTCCGAGAGGTCGACCGAGCAAAGGCGAGAAGAAGTTGAGGCCTTCCCTCCTTTGAATACTCAACATGCTAAGTTATTGATGCAGATATGAGACATGAAAGAGCTTGATTAGACAAAACCAATGGTCACATCTGCTAGCAAGAGGGATAAAGACAAATACTTTCATTTCCATAAAGACCATATACATAACATTGAAAACTACATACACCTAAAAGAAGAGATCGAGTGCCTTATGAGATAGGGCTTCTTGACTAAGTACATAAGACATGATCGAGGGCAAGGAAAAGGTCGATGATCGTTCCTCACCTAGCTTGGGGTAATAAATGAAATCATTGGTGGGATAGCTGTAAACGAAGATTCAAATTCAACAAAAAAGAGCTATGAACGCTCTGTTGGGGTTTGCTCTATTCAAAAGAAGACAAGATTCCATCAAAACATCATTTTTGGTAATGAAGACTTGACGATGCCTTGGTGGTCATCGGTGATGTAACGAATTTTGATGTAATAAAGGTGCTGATGGATAGTGGTAGTACAGCGAATGTTCATGCTTGGAAGGTATTTTGGGCTTGAATATCTTTCCAGAAAATTGAAAATCTTAACCACTCCTCTACAACATTTTGGAGGGGCCAATTGTAATACCAAAAAGAACTATAGAGCTTCCAATAACTCTAGGCACTTACCCAAGGAGTATGGTGATTCTGACGAACTTCTTGGTTGTCAAAACCCCAATGGGATACAATGTAAATCTACAGTTAACCACTATTAAACGCTGCTGGAGCCGTCCCTTCAATTTACAACCAAGTAATGAAACTTCCAACAAGTCGAGAGGATGGATATGTAAGGGGTGATCAACAAGCCTCGAGAAAGAGCTATGTTGATAGCAACAAAACTAAGGACTCTCCATCAGTCATGGTTAGGGATGGTAACGGTTTGGTTCGGGGTTGGTTCGTCTAAAACCATAACCGCACCACCAGATTTTTGGTCATACCATAACCGCACCATAACCACGAAAGTCGGTTCGGTTCGGCTCGGTTAATATCTCGGTTCGGTTCGGTTAATAACCACGAAGAAAAGTCAATAAAAATAAAAAAATATGTCAAGACATCTGAAAAATAAACACATCAATCGAACATATTTAGATCCAGTAGTTTGAGTTCAACTTCAACAGAAAGCATGCTTAATCAAATAAATCTCAAGNATCTGAAATTGGAGAAACTGGAGAGAAATCAAAACTAATCATAAGGCTATCAATGTTATTCATAAACAAATCTTTATCAATCTTTATGTAATACCCATTACAGATTCAATTGAAAGATTGCTAAACCAAACGTATCCTAAGATTTTGAATATGATAAATTGTGAAAAATAAAGCTCGGATGCATCATGAAAACTCAAAATTGACCGAAATTGGGTAACTCGAGAAAAAACCAAAACTAATCATTAAACTACCAATGTTAATTGAAACCAAACTTCATATATTCTTCTTCATTAACCATTGCAGATTCAATAGAAATACTGTCAAATTAAACAAATCCCAAGATCTCAAATATGTACAATTCCAAAAACTAAACATCAGAATCATCAAGAACACTCATAATCATCCCGAAACTAGGGAGGAAGAAATTGACACTTACGGGAAAGAGGACAGGATTTTCCTTGTGAGGGATGTAAGGATCCTTCTTCGAGAAAGAGGGCGAGATTTTCCTTGTCGCTTCTCAAAGCTGCCACTATAGAAAGAAGAAACATCTCATGTTATCTAAGTGCAGCGAAAAGGAGTTGAGGAAAGATAGCCCGTCAATTCTTAATCGCCTTCTCCATGGCGAGCGGTGATGATGAGGACGAGCTGAGGCAGAGCAGTGACGGATTTGAGTGGAAGAGAAGTGGAGACTATAGGGTTACGACAGGAGTCACAGGACATTGTTTTAACTTTTAACGTATAGGTTGTATATTTAAATTGGACTATATCGGTAGTGGACTGGGTTAAAAACTATAAATAGTGTTAGGTTATTCATTATTGGTTTACTTAATGTTAATTGGGCTAGAATTTTGGGAAGTCCAATTGTCAAAATTGCCCAATTAATTTTGGGAAAGAATGATGGAAAGTCCAATTAAATTTTTTTAACGGGTAATCGGTTCGGGGCGGTGAACCATCGCTAAATACCATACCCGCCCCTAAATGAAGCGGTTCATTAAAATCAAAACCATAACCGCCCCATTGCACAATCGGTTCGGTTTTTTTTCGCCCCTTCGGTTCGGTTAACAGCGATTTTCGGTTTGAACAGTTCGAATTGCCATCCCTAGTCATGGTGTTAGGTTTAGAGACTCTAAGGAGCTTGGTGGAGAGCATTCTAGTGGTGAGTTTTAAAAAATTGTTTAGTTAGGATGTCTTTCTATTTTCCTTGTAAATATAGTTGCTGGGAAGTTTAGTGATTTCCCTAATGTAATGTAGACTACCAAATTTAGTCTCTTGTAATTATTAGCATTGTTCAATGAAAAGTTTACAGAGGGACGGATGGTGAGGGCGTTAAGGGTGGGTCAGCTTATTGGGACGTCCCGATGTGCCTACTGAGTTCCTAAATCTAAGTAAACATTATCTAAATGCATGGACTTGGTCTACAATTGTTGATATTTTTTGTACGAAACGTGGCTCAAAACAAAAGATTGCTTAAAACTAAAAATCACTAGACAAATGCTCAATACATCAAAATCGTCCAAGAGGCTAAGCTATGAGAAACAATACAAAACAATTGATTATCTTGAAATCGCTCTACTATCTAGAGGTAAGTAATAAAACCAAATATAGTTAAGCCTCAAAAACAATAGAACTAGTGCTATACACTTTAAGGTTGCATGACACGATAAGTGTTGAGCAACAACACCAAAAAATTTGTTAGCTCAAAATCGTTCTACGATCTAGTCATGGTCAACAATATCAAAAAATTGTTTACCTCTCAATCGCGCTGCGATTTAATGTTGAATATTCAAAACCAAAAAATAGTTAAGTCTTAAGATCACTACATCTCACACTCAACATTTCAAGAAGTATTCAAAAGACAAGTCGACAATTAATAAAACAAATATCGGTTAAAGGTCAAGAATTATCAATTGAAATAAGGAAACTAAAATTGGCTAACTAAGGCTGCGTCATCGTATGGCGGTCACGGTTAACCACATAACATTTGGTGAATGACTGCTATGCAATATAATGTTTAGCGATGAACTATTATGTAATCAACCGCGTGCTCATCATTCGAACTAGAAAGGCGGGCAGACAAAAGGAAGGAATAAAGAATAAACTTCATAATCAACAATCAAAGACTAGATCACTCCACTTGTGAAGTCCATTCTCCATTTCCTCACGGTGTGCTTGTGTGCCCAAATGTCTTAGATTGTTTGGCTTTCTTGTCTCCTCCCTTGCACTGTGCCAACATTGATCGTAACCCAAACGGTCAATAGAAGAATGCTTAGTAGTCATCCACTTCTTGGTCAAGGCGATAAAGGTTACCACCATTTTTTCTGTGTATGCATTCATATCCTTAGCATACTCGGAAGAAGCTTTGAATTGTTCTACTTATGCATCCTAGCATATTCTGAAGATGATCTGTATCGCTTTACCACATCCTAATTTCTTTGATTGTGGTTGAAGAATTGTAGGAACTAGGTCCCTTTGGAAATTCAAAGTCTACCACATTAATCGTTGGTTCTCACCCAATTTCAAAATTTTGGTTCGGGAACTTAGAAGAACCAATATGGTTTTTGGGAAAATTTGATTGAAAGACATGAAAATCAACGGAACGGTTAGGGTTACAGACAAACAAAGAAAAGCAATAGACCCCGTGAAGGGAGATGGTCGATCGACCAGCGACATGGCTGGTCTTGTCGGTTGACCAACAACAGGCTGGTTGATTGACCAGCCCACCTGAAGATAGGTCAGTGGAATAGCTTTCCTCTCATTTTTCCTTTCGCTTTCATTTGAAGATGATGATTGAATTGCTTTATACATAAGAAAATCGACATAGAGGAATGAAGACGCTACCTCTTAACGATGACCTTCGATAAGAAGTAGTTGTTGAATTGCTCATCGGAACAACAGAAGCTTCCTTGCTTCGCCGAAGAGATCCAAAGGTTGTTTCACTATTATTTCAATAACTGTGGGGACAATCAATGCCATCTATCTCTTCTTCCTAACCTAGAGCAGCAGTAGTGGTTGATAAAAATGCGAGGCTATTAGAAGAGTTGATGTCTTCGCCCATGTGGTTCAAAATTAGTTTAGCATTGCGTATCCTCCTTGTGGTCAAAAGAA